AGTACGTTCAGCCTTATGAGAGAAACTTCTCTTTTCAGCCAATGGTCATAAAAGAAGATGGTGGCAGCTTGGTGCTGAGATTTAGTAAGCGTTGGGAGATCGCCTCTAAGGAAGTCATTCACGCCATATTCCTCAAGGTTCAGGTAACACTGCAAAAGGAAGAATAGGGAGAGCGTAAGAGCAGGAAAAATTAGAAGAGCTTCAAAATGGCATCTCATCATGTCACAGCCATTCCGGGCACAGACTGAGAGCAGTTGGGAAAGCTACAGAGATTATACACAAAAATACTATAATCAACACTCAGGCTGGATTCTGAGGGATGGATTCTGGAAGGACTACTGGTCCCAGCCGAATAGTGACTTACAAGTGATATGAGTAGAGGAGAAATCATTGCCTTCAGTTCGTTGTCAATCCAGCTGTGAATAGGTAGTTCAAAGAACCAAATGGACATGCAGAACAAATGTTACAGAATAACACTAAATCATGATCTCAGAGAAGAACTGGCAGAACAACACAGATGGGAGGGATGGTTGAGAGAGTTGGGAGAGTAATCAGAGGGCGATGTATAAATTAAATAACCAAAGAACAAAATTAATCCAGATTGAATGCCTAGGGGATAGGCCAGGTAACTTGCAATGAGAGCTACAGCCAGCTCTGGGTTCAGATGAGTTCTCCTTGACTACATTTGGTAAGGCTCCACACCACTTGATTTATTTTTGGCTTGGAAATGGGTCCGGCATCTCATGTATTTTCCTTAAATATTTACAGGATTGGTAAATTATACTTAATTGTGTTCTTTCTAGTCTTTCTAGTTTTTACAGCATCTGTTTCCTACTGAGGCAGAAATAACACAAGGGAATGGACATATTGCAGGAAACACAGTGAGGTACTGAGAGAAACATGCTTTTAGACATGGTTCATGTACCCGGATGTCTGCCATGTCGAGGAAAGTGGCAGAATGCTCACAATAGCAGCATGTGTGAATAGTGTGGAGCGAGAGAAGATTGGGAGAAAGCACAAGGACGGGGCACTTGCTAGGTTCCCTGGCTTCAAACCTCCCACACTGCAGTTTGCCGGCCCACAAAGCTGTCCTGGATGATTTCCTTGACTCCCGTTTCTGCAGAAATGCATGAGGCACCATGGATTCTCTACCACTAGTATAGGTACATGGTCAGGTACTAAGACAAACAGATGGTAGCTTTAGGAATAAGGTCTCAAAAAGCATCTTACCTTTCCTGTATTCTGCTCACGGGAGGTCATGAGCTTGTCTGTGGAAAATTGGAGCATCCCCTGAGTCAGCCTTCAATATGAAACACGTCTGTATTACAAAGACCGTAGAGAGAAAGGTGGTTGAGGAAGGATAATCAAGACCTGTGGTTTCCTGTACTGGTATGAGTGTTAATCTTTAGAGTCGCGCTCTTCACAAGACTCTTCTCAGTATGTGACCTGGATCCTCTCTGCCATCTTCTGGCCATGCCAAACCCTAGGGTTCCTCTTCCTTGTCAGAGCTTCTTGCAGCCAGAATGCCAGCAATGCCAAAAACTTGAGCCAGCCAGCTGTAGCATTCTCTGGGTATCTGTCCTAACATTGCATTTACAAAACTAGACAGTGATGAAGCTATATATATGTGTGTGTTGATTATATCTGATGGATTTTCAGAATAGTGATTTGAAAATAAAGGCCTGATTTAAAAAATGCAAGAGTTGCTTCTGTCAGGTGCCCAGCCTAGGGATCTAATGAACATGTGTCCTTCGGGATCGTGGGCATCCTTCTTATCGCTAAGAAGGAGGTCAACTCAGCATTCAGCAGCAGAACCATTTAAAAGAATCAAGACGTTGTCTGCAAGAATGCTGGGTAAGCACTATTCTGGAAAAGTAGAAATGAAGGAAATCATAAAAGGCAGCAGAAAAGGATAAACCCTCAAGTTAAGTGGTGCAACTAGAATCAAAACCAAGAAGCTGGTGATTTACTTGCAGGGAATGGGGAACAGCAATGGGAGGGCCCTGCCTCTGAGAAAGGAGAGACACAGGTGTGTGTGGCCTCAAGGGCAACACTTCGGAGCTCCTCCCTCCCGCTTACACCATGCAGAACACAGTAACTATTTTGCAAAGGCAATTTCTTAGTAGTGTTTGAACTTTTTTTTCTGTTTGTATTGTGTTAGCGCATGTGTTGGTATATGACTGAATGCACAAGTGTGCACATGCACGAATCCTCTGCATTTGTAGGACACAGCTCAAAGTCTGGGGTCTTTAATCGCTCTTCACATTGTATCTTGAGGCAAGGTCTTCCATTTGAAGCCAGGACCAACCTACTCAGCTAGCCTAGTTAATGGCATTTCCCCAGGGAATCCCAAGTGCTGGAATTATAGGCAGGCCACCACCCAGCATAAATGTGAGGGATGGGGAATTTTAACTCAGGTCTTTAACTTCAGCACTATATCCCAGGACTGTCGAGGAATGTTCTGTGATGAAGAACATCCAACTTCACCTTCACCACCTTTTAAATATAAATGATTTTTTTAAAGATGAGGTTATTTACTTGCTTTGGTTGGTTTCCTTTTTATGTTTGGTTGGTTGGAGCGTTTTGATAACAAGGAAATAGTATTATATGGATTACATAGACATTCTTGGCTGTACAGAAATCCAGTAGCAGAAGCCAGGCCCACCAAGCAAGAGAGTCAACAACCAAATGGCCTCATCCTTTGCTCTCTATACTCTGACAAAAGTGCTCTAATGACTTCGGAATATTCAGTAGTCGCAACATTCCAGCAGAGTGTCCTGAGTCCTATTATGTCCTGAAAGAACATGTGGGGTAGTGATAGGACTCTGGGGTAATCAATGTGTCTATCCAAGAGCAGGAGTTTAGAACAGAAATGTGGGCAGCACTGACCTCTGAGCAAAAAGTTTTGCCTGGAAGGGGAAACGCAAATTAAAAGAGTAACGGAGCGTGTTGTGTCCCGATTGGGTTTGGAGTCTTGTAGCCACATGTACTTAAGAAAATCTGTAGACTTCTTTCTTTGACCTGTTCATATTGTGCTGTCCTATCTGTACTTGAGTTAAAATTATCATACACACTGAAGATTTAGAATTGAAACATTATTTTATAGAAAATGTTACTTGAATAAGCACGATATAAGTAATAAATGCTGTGAGCTCTGAGGATGGCATAAAGTTGAAGCAGGGTTGATTTCAAAGGAACCCCGTTCAGAGGACCTCATTGGAAATGTGCCATGAGGAATTAGACAGTCAGGGGGACCATGACAAAGACAAGAGTGTGAAGAAACAGAGACCTGACTATGGAATGCTAATCAAGGCATCGTGGAAGGAACCACGGAGGACAGTTTTCCTGCATCCCTCGGGTGTGCATGGATGCCGATGGATGTCATTACAAAACCTGACTGTAGTCTTTCAATGCTGAAAGTGTCAGACGATGTGACCCCAATGGGTCAATAGATATTTAACATAGACTTCTCTTGAGGACTATTGCTCCATAAATTCTTTAGAAGCTACATAAAGACTGGGATTATACAACGTATCTATTTAATCCTTCAAACATTGAGGCAGAAGTTGCTTTTTAAAAGGAAGTGTTGCAAAACGTAAATCTGACCCCTGGGTTAAGAGAGATGAGAGAGGTTCTAGACCAGAGTGTTGCTATTTGGAAGGCAGTTTCCCATTACACTGCTTGTTAGGTGTATGCAGTTTATTTACTGCACTGTACATATACTGGTGAGACTAATTGTTGGAAACATCTAATCTTTACGCTTTTAAGTGCATAATAAATTTGGTAATGCATGTCTTTACTCCTGGGATGAGGCAGGTGGATCTGGGTCCCAGGCAAGCCAGGTTAAATAGACTGTCTCAAAAACAGTAAGACAACATGTACAAGGATCTGGTAGGGTGGCTCGGCAGGCGCTTGCCACCAAGCTGGCGACCTGAGTTTGACCTCCAGGATCCACGCAAGAAAAGGAGAAAACTCATTCCCAACTTGTCTTTTAGCCTCCATAAAAGTGTGATGGCATGCACGTGTTCACATGCATTCACTAATTCATAAATGTAAAAGGTGCACAACATGGTAAAAACAGAGGAATAACGCCACCTGTTCTGGTATTTGTAGGAATGGTTACACTGGCGAAATGGAAGTGTTAAACTCAGTCTTTGAGCAGATACTGCTGAGTAGGGAAAGGAACAGCGCAGAACTCAGCCCTGTACCTGCCGGCTGGTTCCAGTTGCCTTGTGATTGTTTAGGTGTGCACTTCAGTTGATGCTGCTAGGCATTGGAGGACAAGTCCCAGTGCCCAAAGGATGTTAGAAGTGTCAAGATAATTACTATAACTTTCCTACTAGTCTTTTAGAAGGGCTGTCTTATGGGTGTGGCCTTCCCAATACTGTCACTAGCATAATCCTGAACTGGAGTTGTGCAGAGAAGAAAATGGATGGGGGAAAACACTCATTGTTAGGACCGCCACATCTAGAAGATAGTTACAACTGTACCCAGGGATCTGTGTGTGCATTTCAGGAAAGATACCTTTGTTTATTGTGCAAAAAAGTTCATCCCACAATATCAGAACTTTATAACGGTCCTAAAGGACAGCATATGATGAATGAAAAGTATAGATAGTGAATATTGTAGCAACGACAGACAAGGTTCCTCTTGAATTTAGGATTGAAAAGCCATGTCTACATAGAGTGAGTTAGTTCATGTTGCTAGGCTGACTGTGGAAAGGCTAAGAGAGGCTCACAGGGTGAGATTTGCAATGTTGTGCTGAGATTGACATCCTAAGAATCCCTGGGATGTGTTGTCGTGATATTTTGTTTCTATTCTAACAAATAAAGCTTGCCTAAAGATCAGACGGTAGAGCTAGCCACTAGTTAACCATAGAGGCCAGGCAGTGGTGGCACACACCTTTAATCCCAGCACTTGGGAGCTGGAAGTAGGAACATCAGGAGTTCAAGGCTACTCTGGGCTACATGAGTTTAAAACAGTCTAAAAGTGAAGCAGACCTTTGATCCCAGTTTTTATTATTATTAAGACCAACTAGATTTGGGTTACAACAGGTGCATCTTCCAACTATTCCATAGGAATACATTTATTAAGCAGGAACACACCTTCTTCCTCATATTTTAGTATATAGATCTGTATATAACTTAGAAATGGTGTACATAGTGTGGTCTTTTGCTTTGTGTTTCCTTCTAAGCTGAATATTGAGGGAATGCAGAATTTTCAATGTAGTTTCACCAGTACAAAACAGAGGTCTGATGCCATTTTTATCTTCTATGAAATTTTTGTTGCCAAAGAAGATAGGGTTACCATATTGTCTGACAAATTTGGCTAGTGTGGTGCATTCTTGGCTATCAAAATACTCATGGAGCATGGGGTCATTAGTTGGTGAATATTTACAATGTGGGGGAAGGCGTGATATGGAATGTATCATCTCAGTTACCTAAATGTATGCATGTTTGCAGGATCTAGGACACATCAAGATGAGCTCTCTGTGATTGGGTGCCTTTGCTCTTGGCTTCTTGAGTTTTGTTCCCTAAAATGAACATTTCAAAAAAAATAAAAGCTAATTTTTAAAGCTTACAAAAACTAAAAACAGAAAAGAAAATTGTTGCAAAATATACCGTGGATTCAAGACTATCATGTTCAATGACCAAAGAAATAAATCTCTTTAATATATTTCCTTGACCCTTCTGCTGAAGTGTGTGTGTGTGGGGGGGGATTGTCAATAGTGGTCAACAGATCTTCTGGATCCCAGAGAGCTTCCAAGGAGTCCCACCAAAAGGAGACGATGAAGCACTGAGTAAGACAGCTCCAGATACACGGCAGTCAGTATTTGTATAACAAGTCCAGCGTCAATCAACTTCCACAAGATTGACTGCTTTCTCAACTGATTTAACCTTGAGTCGTCAACTAAACAAGGTTCTGAAAATGCCACAAACTTATAAGGACAAAGTTGTTTCTCCAAGCTACTTCTGCCTGATCCAAACGGATGTCAGTGTCTGCTAGACTGTTTTCATTTCTCTGGATCGTCCCGAAGAACCACCTTCTCTACATTCTTCCTCTTCAGGGGTGTCCTGCAGGGCTCGCTGCAGAAATAGCTTGAGAGTCCTCCACTGGAACCTACGGTGCCTGATGGAGCCAACAAGGAAGTAAATGATGGGGTTGGCACAGCTGTTAACACAGGAGAGAAATATTGTCACTGAATAAAAATCATAAAGCACCGCATAATTAAAATTTTCAATCCATTCTAAGAGAAACTGGTAGATCCCATAGGGCAGACCAAAGAGCAGGAAGACCAGCACTGTGCACACGATGGTCACATACAGCCTGGTCACAGGTATCCTGTGTGAGCCACAGAAGATAGTAAACACTAACGCCAGACTGGACCCCAAGAGGACCACAAATAAAACAATTAACCATGCAGCAATGATGAAATCAAATGACTGACACCAACCGTGGCCAACACTATCAAAAAGGAGACCACATTCCTTCCCTTCCAGGATGCTCAGCAGCAGTGACAAGACCCAAAGCAGAGCACACATGGCAGCTGACGTGTGCCTGGGGCGTTGGCAGCGATACCAGATGGGCCACATGACAGACAGGCAGCGCTCAGTGCTAATGGCGCTGAGCATGCTCAGGCCACAAAGATACGTGGAGTTTAACAGAACAAAAGAAAACAGAGTGGTGTCAATGGTCTTGGAGTAGAAGATGTCCAAGATCACATGAAAGCAATGTACAATTTGAAAGCAGAGGAAGAGGAAGTCGGCCCCGGCCAGGTTGAGGATGTAGACGGAGAAGACGTTCCTGCGCATGTGGAATCCCAGAAACCACAGCACGATGGCGTTTCCAACCAATCCAGCCAGGGCAATGATGGGGGAAATGAAAATCATGGTACAGAACATGAGGCTGCAGAGTGGGATTCCGGTGTCGTTTCTTCCGTCCAGTGCTGTGGTGTTAGGCGGCCAGTGTGAGATGTTAATATCCACCCTTAGGAGCTCTCCACTAGTGTTCCTGTAAAGAAAAGTGAGATATGAGCACAGGCTGTGCCCTCTGCTCCTCAGGACCACCGCGCTCCGTCTGGGTGAAGGACTGACCTGATTCATGAGGAGTTGACACAGGAGACTGCGTAAGTTATGAAAACCAACATTTCCGAAGATTTCATTTAAATCCGGTTTGTGTTTGTTTGGGCTGTCTACAACCCATGGCCTATACTGAGATGAGAGTAGTTAGCAGCCCCAGGATAGACACTCAGTGTCTTGGGCTGTGTCAGAAGGAAATAGAACTGTGAACCCAACTTTTTTTTTCTGTCATTAGACTGATTCTTCTCTGGTGCAAGAACTTGCAAGCCAGAAGCATGAGCACCAGCTGCTCCCAGTCTTGGCAGGGGAGGCTATCAGCTGGGAAAATATGGAACTCATGAATGAGAGTCATGAAGTCAGTGGCAAATCTTACTAAGACCAATATGAAAAGAACCAGACCTACACTTAATGTGAATCGGTCTCCGTTTCAGATTTGAAATTAGAAAGCAAGAAAGCCTTTGAGGACATCAAGAATTTTTCTGTTGTCTGCTGCTACATCACAAGTGTCCATCTCTCTAATGAGACGCAGTGAGAAATTGATAGTTTCATGAAAAAAGTCATGAATTAATCATAAAACCTAACAGTAGTTACAAATTTCAATTAAATATTTTCGCAGTTTTTCTGCTTTTTTTATAAATTTTTATTTAATTTAGAAACAATCTTATTTTACATATCAATCCCAGTTCCCTTTCCCTCCCATACACCCCACCGACTCTCCCATCCCACCCGCCATCCACTCCCCAGGGAGGGTGAGGTCTTCCATGGAAATCATCAAAGTCTGTCCCATCATTTGAGACAGGGCCTAGGCTCTCCCCTGTGTTTCTTGCCTGAAGGAGTATTCCTCCATGGGAATGGCCTCCCAAAGTCTATTTGTGCTTTTGCAAATAATTTAGATCAAGTTAGTACCACAGAACGCATAGAAAGGATAAAAATGTTCTTGCTGAGGGTTCTGTCATAGCAAAGTTCTACTGTGTTTGAAAGAATGGCTTGTGCTACAAGATGGCCTGGGTCATTCTCCAACCCAGAAATGTTCAATAAATAACTAAGTTGGTAAACTAGAAGAATTTCAGCCCAGAATTTAGTCATGGATTTTTAGATGAACTGAACTTTGAACACTCTTAAAGAATAAAGAGGGATATTTGCAGAAAGAGAAAAAGAAAGAAAGAAGTGACAGCTGTATTAAATAGAGGCCACAGCTGTATTAAATAGAAACATCTACAGGAGGAGACAGAGTGTAAATAGAAAACACACACCATTGGACAACGGAATCTTGAAATTTGCAGTTAAATGGACGGAACTTGAAGAAACCATCCTGAGTGAGGTAACCCAGTCACAAAAAGAGGAACATGGAATGTACTCACTCATATATAGAGTTTAGACATAGAGCAAAGGATCATCAGCCTTTAATCCATATCACCAGAGAAACTAGGATACAAGGAGGAACCTAAGAGATTCATACAAGGTCCCTCACAGAAGGGGAAAGGAACAAGATCTCCTGAGCATATTGTGACTGGGGGGGGGAGGTAAATGAGTGGAGGAGTTAGGAGAAAAAGAAGGGGAGGAGAGGAGAACATGTGGGACCAGGAAGATTGAGTTGGAGGATGAATAGATGAGAGCAAGAAAAAGGATATCATAATAAAGGGAGCCATTATAGGTTTGAAGAGAAAACTGACTCTAGAGAAGTGTCCAGAGACATTTAGTTAGTTGGGGTGACCCGGCTAACAATCTGAGCAACAGTGGAGAGGCTACGCTACCTTAAATGCCCTTCTCTGATAATGAGATTGATAACTAACTTATATATCATCCTAGAACCATCTAATAGCTGTTGGAAACAGAAGCAGACACCCACAGCTAATCACTGAGTGGAATTCCTGGAATCTGGTTGCAGAGAGGGAGGAGTGATGAGCAAAGGGGTCAAGACCAGGCTACAGAAACCCACAGAGACAGCTGACCCTGAACAAGGGGAAACTCATGGACCCCCAGACTGATAGCTGGGAAACCAGAATTGGACCGACCCAGACCCACTAAAAGTGGGTCTCAGTTAGAAGGCCTGGGCAGTCTAAGGGACCTTGGACAGTGGAACCAGGATGTATCCCTGGTGCATGAAAGGACTTTGGGAGCACATTCTCCATGGAGGGATACTCTCTTAACCTAGAGGCAGGAGGGAGGGCCTAGGCCCTACTCCAAATGACTTGACAGATTCTGATGATCCCTCCTGGAAGGCAACACCCTCCCTGTGGAGTAGGGGGGGAAATGGGAGGAGGATGGGGGGCATGGGAGGGAGAGGGAACTGGGATCATGTGTAAAATAAGAAAAATAATTTTTTTTAAAAGTTTAAAAAAAGAAAAGGAAACCATCTACCAGGCATGGTAGTTAATTTGTGGAAAACCAGACTTTAAAGGCTGGGCCCTGAATAGTTCATTGAGTTCAAGGACAGTCTAAGCTACATAGTGAGTTCCAGAAAATCCTGGGCTAAAGGGAAAAAAAGGAGGAAAAAAAAAAAACAAAAAAGAAAGTGATGGGCAGAGGAAAGGAGCAATGAACAAATGAATGAATGGAGGAACCTGGAAAGGAAGGGAGGGAGGGACGGAGGGAGGGAGGGACGGAGGGAGGGAGGGGGGGAAGAAGATCAAAGCTTTGGAGACCTCTGGAACTCAGATTGGAAAGAACCCCTCAGTATCAGTATCCTTTGGGCAAAGGATGGGTCTGAGATTCAGAGTAAAGCACAAAAGACTAATTCCATGATGTTAGAGAATCAAGGACATTCCAACAATGGAGGCATTCCAAATAGACATCAATAAGAAAGAACCTGTATAACAAAATGGAGTGGCAAGTGTCAAGACTAGATGACACATAACAGATGCTGATGTTAAAGGATCCAGGAGCACGTACCACTTTACCCACACAGTAAAACCTATCATCAAAATGACAAAGTCCTGTGAAAACATCTTAGAGCTAGAAAAACACTAAAAGCTAATATTCCACACCCTGAAAGATACATAACTGCCAATCAGTTGTCACAGCCATCCTGACAGAAAGCACTCTCCATTTTTACACCCTCTTAGGACTAACTTAGCTACCCAGCTAGATACCCCATCTTAGTCTTCTCTGTAGGGACCCACAGGCCCTTTATCCTTCCACCAAAAATGTTCCTTTGGGATTCCCCCAAAGCGTGTAGCTCAAGACTCACCTGGAGACTCCAGAATGGTGGCCAAAAACTTTAACCAGAAGATATAAGCAAGAACCAAACTCCGGATGCACAGGTCCCATCATAAAATTACAGACAATATGTAAAATAAAAGCAGTATATCTCTGCTAAAGATCATGAATCCTATAGCATGTATAGGGAGTTTAATTTAGATGAAGTTCAAGACATGGGAATCAAATCAAAACAATTAAAAGTACCCTTGGGAGTTCAGAGAATTCAAAGAGAATTTGAGTAAACACCTGAATAAGCTTAAAGGATACAAGAATAAACGCCTGACTGGAGTAAAAACAGCACAGTGGCCAGCTATGCATGGAGCAGAGACTGCAGTTTAGAAAACATAAAGACTCGAAGAGGGAAACACCAAGAAAAGAAGCAACACAATCAAGAAATGGACTATACATTGGAACACGCAAATCCCCCAAAGAATAAATATGAGTATCTGCCACCATTTTCAAAATAAAAATGAAAAAGGAAGGTAGCTCGAGGAGAGGGATTGCTTTGGTTCCCTGGCTTCAAACCTCCCCCACTGCAGTATTCTAGCCCGCATGCTGTCATGAAGGACTTTCATGACCGCTGTTTCTGTGTAAATGCATGGGAGTCCTTGGATTATCTACTTCAATTATAACGGACTAAGAGAACTAGGTAAGAGTTTCAGGGGGAATGTCTCAAAAAGCGTCTTACCTTTCCTCCATTCCGCTGTCAAAACGAAACGCGTCTGTGGTTCAGAAGCTGCAGAGACTGGTTCTTGAGGAAGGGTAACCAAGAGGGGAAGAAAGGTTTCCTGTACCTGGATCTGGGCACTCCTTTGAGTCCTGCTCTTCACAAGACAGTTCTCAGTATTTGGCCTGGCTCCTATCTCTCACCCTCTGGCCATACCAATTCCTGTGGCTTCCATCCCCTACTAATGCATCTTGCGAACAGAAAGCCAGCAATGCCAAGCAACGCGAGCCGGTGCTGTAGCATTGTGTGGGTATCAGAGCTATCTCTGTGTTTGCAGAACCAGACCATGACTAAACAACAAGCATAAAGATAATAATCAAATTAGATGAATTTGCAGAATAGTGACTTCTAGACAGGAGTTTCAGTTTTCAAACTAAAACAGTGGCTTCAGTCAGATGTCCAGCCTAGGGAATATGCAGCCTGCAGGCTCCTGGAACAACTGCCTTACTGCTAAGATGCCAATAAAGGAGGTCAACTCAGCACTCAGCAATGGGGCCATAGAAAGAGATGTTGGCTACAAGAGTACTTCTGCATAGGTGGAAATGAAGGAAACCAGGAAGACAGAAGGAAAGGATGTGTCTTTAATAAAAATCTAGCGGCTAGAATACAAAGAGAAGAAAAAAGGAAACCAGACCAAAACAAAGTGTTGTCATGCATATCTTCCTGGACCCTCAAAGGTCTTGACCAACAGGGGCAGGCAAAGCCTAGAGAGAACCAACAATAAAATAATCAGACAGATGTAATTCATTGCCAAATGTTTTATTTAGGCAGCCTCGCCACGCTTTTACAGCATACCAAGCAACAGACATAGAACCTATATCAGGTCAAATGCTACGGTGCAATAAGATTTCCCACAACAGTGACACTACAAAGGATGCAACCAAACTGGTAGAAGATAAAAGGAAAAGCCAGTTTGCCTTACTGAGACAGGAAAAAGTTCTTGGAAATGCAAACTGTATAGATGCTCCAGGAAGACACAAAGACACAAACTTTACATTGAATGATAAATAATAAATAACATTACCAAATTTGGGGGGCAAATTTAGCAAGCCTTATATTCTTTCAACAGAGCTATCTCCCTAAATTTGGATTTGAAAACACATCATTGAACACAGCAGGAAGTAGCCTTTATATAGTCTGAAAATGCCAGGCTGGATGATTTCCAGCAGAATTTTGTTTATGTAGAAACTTGGCTGAACAAAAATTATTTGGTAGAACATCATATCTTAACAGGGTACATTTAAGACATAAGTCAAACCCACTGGGTGACAAACATACAAAATTACAGAAACAAATTAAAAGTGGTCACACTTGAATTTTGCAGAAAACAGAAATGAATTTATTCTGACCTTATAACAAAATGACTTCTATAGCATGGATCTCCCTGGAAAGGGAAAATAGAATAGATTTTGCGGATGCACTGAGGGTAAGTTGGGGTGGGAACAGGAGATATCAGTTGGAAGAGTATGGAGGGAGAGAATATGGGGAGAGATGACTGGAATTAGAGGGCATTTGGGGGTCATGTGGAAACCTAGTGAATAGAAACTCTCAGGGATCTACAGGGGGTGACCCTAGTAATGGAAGAAACAGAATCTGAACTGGCCATCTTCTGTAACCAGAAAAGGCTTCCAGTAGTGGGACTGGGACACCAACCTAACCACTAAACCTTTGACCTACAATATACCCTATTGCAAGATGTGCTAGATTAGTGGAGATGCAGAACTTGTGGGAGTGACCAACCAATGACCGATCTAATTTGAGACCATGCTCTGATAGGAAGACCATGCTGGACAACAACTGGATTGCCAGGAACCAGAGGCTGGATAACCCGGAGACCTAGGATAGAGGGAGGAAACCCAATAAAAATGATTTCTAATGGTATTCTGCTACACTCATAGAGCAGTGCTTAGCCCAATTGTCATCAGAGAGGCCTCTGCCGGCAGCTGATGGGAGCAGATGCATAGACCCACAGCCAGACATTAGGTGGAAAGAGAGCCTAAATTAGAGATCTCCATCAAGCCCCTCCCTTTGGAATTCAGTGAACCCCGTGGAAGAAGGGAAGGAAGAGTTGGTAAGAGTCAGACCCACAGAATCAACTAAGCAGATCTCACAGGGTCTCACAGACCGGAGAGGCAATCACGGAGCCTGTACAGTCTGAGCTAGGTCCTCTGCGTGTGTGTTATGGTTGTGTAGCTGGGTGTTCTTGTGGGACTCCCAACAGTGGCAGCTGGGTGGCTCCGACTCTTTTGTCTGCCCATGAGACCGGTTTCCTCCTACTGGGTTGCCTTGAGGGTTTGTGCCTAGCCTTATTGTATCTTGTTATATGGTTTGGTTGGTATCCCTAGGAGGATTGTTCTGTTCTAAAGCAGAGTTGATCTGTGGGGGAGGGGAGGGACTGGGAGGCGTAAAGGGAGGGGAAATTGAGGTCAGGATGTATTGAAAACTAAGGGGGGGAACTGCTGCACGCCTAATCAGCATGGCAGCCGCTTTTATTTGCTCTCTATGCTAGCATCCCGTTCTACGGAGCTGTGTTGGCTAGTTTTGTGTCGACTTGACACACCCTAGAGTTATCTGAAGGGAGGAAACCACAAGTGAGAAAATAACATCCCGACGTAGGGCATTTTCTTAATCAGCAGTTTATGGTGGAGGACCCAGCCCACCATGGGCTGGTGGTCCTGGGTTCTATGAGAAATCGGGCTTAACGAGCCATGATGAGCAAGCCAGTAAACATCTCTTCTTCGTAGCTCCTGCATCAGCTCCTGCCTCCTGGTTCCTGCCCTGTTTGAGTTCCTGTCCTGACCTCCTTTGCTAAAGAACAACGATATGGAAGTACAAGCCAAGTAGACACTTTCCTCGCCGCCACCAAATTGGGTTCCATCCTTAAGATGGAGTCGGGCTGCTCCATCAGTGTCTGTCTCCATCTTGTGTCTCCATCAGTGTCTCATGTGTCCTCTTCATAGTCTTCTTCATACTGGGGAAAGACCTCACTGGGTCTCATCAATGGCTTCTCATTTGGGCTGCTTTCTCATTGCACATAGGTAAAGCCATATATTGACAGCAGTCATGAGGAGAGCAATTTGATGGTGTGTTTACTATTTTATTTTTAATTCTCTGTCTGTCTCTGTCTCTCTGTCTCTCTCTGCCTCTGTCTCTCTGTCTCTGTTTCTCTGTCTCTCTCTGCCTCTGTCTCTCTGTCTCTGTCTCTCTGTCTCTCTCTGCCTCTGTCTCTCTGTCTCTCTCTGCCTGTCTCTGTCTCTCTGTCTCTGTCTCTGTCTCTCTGTCTCTCTCTGTGTCTCTGTTTCTCTCTGTCTCTGTCTCTTTCTCCTTTTTTCTGTGTCCAACTGTGAACTGATGGTGCACCGGCACCCTGCCTGAACAAAGCAACACTGCCTTGCCAATGGCCTTTCCCACAGCCATGGCTACTACAGACAATTTCTGAATTCGTAAAACTTCTCACCGTCCCTTCAATCCCAGTAATAGTCCTGCTTCTCCACTAAAATATGCTGCATGTTCCACTCAGCCCTCCATACATCTTGGCAAAGAGTCTGCAATGAATGTATTTCAGTTACCCTCTTATTTCCCGCCTTCCGTTCCTGAGGCATGATTACAGATATGAGGCATATAATGGAAAATAGCTGTGAATAACAAGAAAACCAAAGAAGCCTAAGGACATTACAAACGTTTGGCAAGTGGGCTTCGTCGACATCGGCTCTTCTTAAAACCAGGATCATAAAGTCAGGTGTCATCAATTTAACTGTGGACAGCTGTCACATGTGTGGCTGGAGGAAATGGAGCAATCACTTAAGCTTGGTAGCTGGAGAAGAACAGCCACGGCCTGCACAGGAAGAGAGAAGGGGCAGATGGGGAGACTGGAGGAGGCAGGAGACAGAAAAGAAACCAGGCCATGAGCACATGGGTCCGTTATTACTGCATTAAAGGGCCCGTTCCTCCAGGAGACATCACACTGCCATCTTGTTCTTACTGATCAAGGAGCCCTTTCCTACTGCAGGACAGCACACAGGTTTCTCTGGTACCTTAGGACACCAGATAAGAAAGACAGCATCTTCTATGGGGCTGTCCTCACTCAGAAAGCAGAAGTTCATTTTAGGGTCAAGTTAGCCTCTTGGCAGCTCAGAGTTGCTCTTGTACAGCAGGTCCCTTCTAACTGAAGCAGTCCCTCCTAGACAAAGGACAGACGGATGGTCCAGAGACCCCGACCTGCCGAGGCTGCCTGGATAACATGCCCAGCTGCCGTTGGGTCCTGCAGGGACTGTAATGTTGAATCTTGCATCTTTTGTCACCTGTGCTGGGGTGGCCTTTCGGTGAGGCAGCTGCCCTTGAGTCATCCATGCTCTTATAGGTAACCCCTCATCCATGTGGCAAGCTAGAATGCTTCCCTTAGACCTGACCCATGCCAAGTAGTGCAAGCTAGCTCAAACAAAAGCACTAGAAATGGGGGTGTGCAGATCATCCTGTGGTAGGAGCAGCACATGAGGATGAGGAAGCTCAAGAAGAATGTCTGTGGTTCGAGGAGAGCCAGATGGAGTAGTGTTTCCTATCCATGCTTCTGTATTCAACATTGATCTTTTGACTGGAGAAGTGACAGATATTTTCATGGTGTACTGGACCTTGACATTTTTTTTTATGTCTTTGTTTGCACAAGACCTTTCTTGGAAAGGATAGTGTGGGCCTTCAGCTATCTTCCCCACATTTATAGAGAGGTGCCGCAGCATAGTATTAGCCCTTGAGTGTTGGTAGCCTATATTTGTTCGGGTGCTTCTCTGACCAATAACTCCTGGGAAGGCGGCCCACCCCTGTTACTGAGATCTCTACCCAACAACCTTACAACTTTTCTTTTACTCAATAATGATGCTTTTGTCTAAACTGTCTAACTGTTGTCTTCACTGGATCTTGGAGAGAAGTACCAAGTCACTTACAAAGAAAACCCCGCCAGGATAATAGCAGACTTCTCACCGTGAGGTCCATAAGAGAACAGAATGAGAAACCTCCCCGTACGCTCAGGCATGGAGCACTTGGTCTTCAGCTGCAGGTGCTGTTTGGGAGATTATAGAACCTTTGGGGGACAGCATCTTGATGGAGGAAGTTGGCCACTAAAGCCGGGCTTGAGAGTTTATGGCCTCACCCCACTCCCAATCCCTTCTCTCTCTCTCTCTCTCTCTCTCTCTCTCTCTCTCTCTCTC